GGCACCGTGCCCAGGCACACACACTACCCTGGGGTGTCAGCAGACCATGGTTTTCTGCAAGCTCCACAACCTCCCTCTCCTTGTCCTTCTAAGAAACAGGCTGCGAGACACAGGTAATTCAACAAAAAGAGCAACATCACCAGCAGCATAACTCTTCCAGCTCAGCCCAGCCATCAAGCCCTTGTAGGAGAAGGTGAGGATCAAACCACCAGCCTGAAAAAGGCAGATGTAGGTGGACAGGGGCTTGTTTTGTCATTGTTTGGTTGTTTTTTTTGCTACTACTGAGCAGAATGAGGCTGCTCAGCCTTTATCCAGCTCTTCAGAGTAGCTCCACTACTGCTGCTGGAGGCAGGGCGTTGCGTTAGGCGCAGCCAGTTCCAGATGCAGCCCTGGTTCAGCCCGGTACGGCTGTCTTCGCACTATCTGAAGCAGCAGATTAAAATGCATGCCCACATACTTCCAGCACAGCACAACAACATCAGCAGGAATTCGCTGATAGGAGAGATATTTTCCTAATAGAGTCCTCAAAGCTGGATGTGGACACCTCCTCCAAGCACTCAACCGCTGGAACAAAACCTGCTGTGCTTTCTGCCAGGGCTCAAAAGAAGAACTGACCCAGGGATGCCCCGAGATTCCTGTTCATTTCGTAACAAGCCACTGTAAAAGGAAATTGAGCTGAATATTCACGGGCTTAAGGCCATTTAAAGTAGAGACTTACTTTCCTAATGTATAAGGGTTCTTCCAGCCTTCTGTGGGCAAGAGACAGGAAAAGAAATGCCTTTCAGGGAGAAAGCATTAATGAGAAAGGAGTTTCCCCTGAAATAATTAGCAGTACAAGGCAAAAAAACTAATAAACTTTCCCTAAGGAAAGGCTTCAAAATAATTAAACCTATATATCCAAAGCTCATTGCAGTCTACTAGATCTACTGTATTAGCTCTTTAATTGCTGCAGCTTTTCTGGAGCTCATGCAATGCAGAAAAAACAATCCCTAGGACCATTTTTATTTACCTCAGTATTTTGGTTAACCACAGGAACGAACTGACGAAGGAAACCTACATCCAGGAGGGCTCTGAGGGCATGGGGCTAGGCACCGCAGTGACACAGGGACCCAAACGGGGACACACGCATCCCTCCTCATCAGGCTCTGCGCCCCGTGGCAACAGGGAACATTGGGAATATGTTTGCAGGGAACTAGGCAAAGCTGAGCAGCTAAAACAATCCTGATTTGCCAACTGATACAGATGGTTTTCAACAGGAAGATAACAACATGTCTTAGGAAAAGAGAAGCCCTCCCAGGGAGAAGAGGGTCGCTCTGGTGCTTAATTTTTCCCAGTTTTCTCAGGAGGCTCAGCAGGAAAAGGAACAGAGTCCCCACCGCATGAATTCTTGTATCAGGTGAGGCTAGATTAATTCCCCAGAGAAGATTACTGCTCTAGGCAGTTAATGGGTGCTCTTACCTCAGTTCTCCTGGTGCTTTTCTCCCAGTGACTGAAAGAACTGAGAAGTTTCATCCCCAATTCCTTTACGAAGACGCAGCTCCACGCAGGCCATGCTGTTCAGCAGAGCAGAGAAGCAGCAAAGCACATCCCCTCAGACTGAGCACAGAATACAAATAACGTCCTCGTGCTGCTTCCCCTCTTTCTTCTGTTTTCTAAACACTCAGAAGAAAGTCAGCACTCAGACATCTCTCCCCATTTTCTTAATGGAACTGTAAGAAGCCTGCTGTGCAATTGTCTGCAAGAGGCTCTGGAAAATCAAAGAGGACAAAGCAAACCACAGGGGTTAACCTGCAGGGCAGCTACTTAAGTAGAAGCAGCAGAAAACAAATTTCTAGACACACACGTGGAGCTAAGTCTCATTTGTCAGAGGAGCAAGCATCAAAGGCTCTGCACAGAGCCATCCACCTCCTGCGCTGTGCTCGGGGGCCTTGGGCTTGTGGCGTTGCAGCTGATGGTAACAATGGTGACCCCGTAAAAGGAGCAGTGGAAACGTCAGGGAAGATGGAAGGACAAGCAAGAAGATCACCTCCAAAGGGCAGTTCTTCGTGAGACAAGCTGGTTCAAGACCCAGAATGGTTACGGGCAGTTGGTCAAGCCAAGGAGGCACCTGAAGACAGTTTGTCCTGGGGCAGCCACTGGGGAAGAGGGGACAGAGCTGCAGCAGCGCCCTGGGAAATCCCACACACCACTCCATCCATTCCAGTGCCTGACAGGGTTACTGACATATGGGGGTGAGGAAGCTTGTAGCATCCCCTATATCCATCCCTTACCTGCCCAGCTCCCAGCAATTCAATTATCCGATGCAGCAAGTGCGACGTGGTTCTCAGCTGTGATTGACCACCCTTCTGCTCTCACAACAGCATCTCAAGCCGTGTTTCCAAATCAGCATTTAGCTTTTTTGCTAGCTAATACATTTCCTCTCTCCCCCTCTCCCTCCCTTCTCCCATCCCGTGTATTTGGTGAAATTGCTTCTTCTGCAAATCTCACTGCAAACACTGAACTTTTGCCCATTAGACAGGGAAAGCCTTGGCTAAAAATAAACCCAATTGCAGTAAAAAATAGACCCCTTTGCAGTAAAATAGGGGATTATACAGGCAAGCAGACCTGACAGGAGAGCACAGCCTCCAGATTTGCATGAGAATCTCATCAAGCTCAACAGATAGCATCTGCAGCTACGTTAACTTGCCCCATCTTGGAAGAAAAAAAAAAAAAAAAAGGAAAAAAAGAGAGAGGTGAGACTGAGGGAGGGGTACGGTTGAGGGCACTGGGGTAAATCAAGTTTCCATCTGTTTTGCCAGCATTTCAGATCCTTCACACATGCACACACCCCAGCACGTCTGTGACTGAGCAGCAAAGAACAAAACTCCCCTTTGAAGAAGCCACAGGAGCTCCCTGAAAACACAATTCTCCCGCTCAGAAGTACCGAGCCTCCCAAGACCCCTCTCCTCTAGCAGGCTGGGCACTCAGAAAAGGATGCCAGGACGAGAAGGGCTCCAGCCAACGCCTGCCTGTGCTCCCTGAGAACCCAGCTGCTCTTTGTCCATAGGAGAGGAAAAGGATGACAAACTGTTCCCTACAGGAGGCAAAACCCCATTACAGGAAATCCACCGCAATGTTTCAGGCGTGGAAGAAAACAACGTGTGCTTTTTGCCACCTGAGTCACCAGCAGTCTGGGGCACTGATTCAGCACTGCTTCCCTCCGAGGCAGACACACCTCAGGAGAGCAGCAAACAGGGACCATGCTTACCTTCGCTGCTCCCCTTCTCATTACGCTCCTGCCTTGCAAAAGAGGTCTTCCGAGCTAGCACATAACCTTAAGAAATAGAAAGTGCGACGGAAATGCAAGCCCTGCTAACTGCCTCTGCCATCAGCTCAGAAGCAGGGAGCATGCCGTCTTCTTGCGCAGGGTGATAAACCCCAGGAAATACCCGAGATCAGGTAGGAACAGCTCCGCCCTAACTCCTACTCCTCCAGTGCCGCACCACCCAGACAATCCCAGCTGAACCAGGTATTCAAGAAAGATTGGTTCCCCTAATTAATCCACTTGCCTTTTTAGGGAGCAAGAAAGCTTCACACAGCCAATTAGGATTATGTCCTCCTACAACCAACAGGGCGGCTTCAGACTGGCCAAGTGCAATGCTATTTTCAGAAGGGATCTGCCAGGGACGGACGTTTGGAAAAGAAGCTTTTTGTTTGTTTTGTTTTAACTTCAGGAGCATTTGCAGCAAGCTGAAGCTCGGTGTGCCAGGCCAACCTCTCCACGTTCAGCAACGCCCCTACAGTGGCATCCATCTACCTCAGACCTCCCCTGAGTGACCACAAATGGCAAAATATTCCACTTCAATGCCTCCAGCCAGCTGGGAGCACAATTGCAGTCACTAAAAAAGCAGCCCTGACAGTAATGCAGTAATTGAAATCTGTGGGCACGTGGGCCTGCTGCTAGCATAACGAGGGGCGATTACTGAAAGCATCTTGGCAACTGAAACCAAATCAAGCAACCCACTCTCATTGCCAAACAGTTTCAGAGAGCACAGGTGAGCTTTTTCACTGAGCACTGATGCCTTGAAGCAACAAATACACTGAATAACTCAAGCAAGAAGATGCACTGGGCAGCACCGGGCACAACTCCACTACTTCCGATAGCAATTGGCGGCTGAGCCGAGCAATAATTATCCAGGGAAAAATAAGCTGCTACAGGCTGCAAGTAGAGACACATTAAGAAAGCAGCAGTGGACTTGCTCATGTATCAAGGAGAAAGCAGCAATGTGAGGTCCCACTGAGGACAGTGGGTGCACACACACTGAGATGGGTTTCGTATTCAAAACACCTCATACATGTACGTTCAGGCTCAGACAATCAGGTGGGGATTTTTTTTCCTGAAAGCGAACCCCAGCTCGCAGCCTCTGATACACTGCACAATGTGTGGGAGCAAAGACAGTCCAACCTCTGGCAACAAATGCAGCTCCTCCTGCTCGAAGCACACTCCTGGCCCCACCTGAAGCACTGCTTCCCCACAGATGAAGGCCAGGAGAAGCAGGAGGAGGTCTCTGCTCTGGACTGAGGGCTGGATACAGCCTCCTACCCCACAGCATCCTGCAGGCTGCCCACTCAGCATGTTTTCCAACCCTCCTCCCACAAGGCTGTCGGCTAAGCTAAGCGAAGACCTTACCTCCTGCACGGGTGTTTTCACATCTGCACAGAAAAAAGCGTTCACTGCATGGCATGACATACCTGCTCAGAGCATCAGCTTCCCTGAAGGCACCGACAGTGAGCCAGAGCACAAACCCCATTGGCATACAGGAACTGGCAAATCCTGCAAGCATGAGAGAGAGTGTTAATTAGTGACATTAATAAGACCTGGCTGGTGAAAGGAAAGGAGGCCAAAGCTACCTTAGGAGAGAGTGGCAGATGCTAGATCCCTGCACTGAACATACTCCTGCCTAGTCCTTGCCCACAGCTGGGCTACCAGACACAAGATTTTAAGGGACTTACCCAAAATCACATAAGAAAGCCAAGAAAAAAGGCAAGACCACCTGTTTCAAACCAAAGCTGTTCACCCAACAAAGCCTCCTCAACAGCCAATGCAGTGAAGTTAACATCTAAGCAGGAGAGCAAACAACAGGCTGATGAACTGCATGAGTGGTCACCTGCTGAGCTCTCCTACCCCCTTGTGATGCTGATGAAGACCTGCGCTATAGCTCTTCTGCAATTCCTTCCACTTCCTAAAGCGGGTGAATCACGTCTGACATCAGCACCGCGCTGCTCGTTTCACTAATATTTATTCAACATGACGGATTCATCATGTAAATGGTTTGCTATTTCCTCCCAATCACTTTATACAGCCTGCGTAGGTGAGTCACACCAACAGATAACTAGCAGCACGGAGCACAAGCAGGGACAGAAAGCTGCTCCAGCAGCTGTGGAAACACCCAGCTGGAGGTATTCAAAGTCCCCGCTGCATGCTGATGAAGAGACATCAAAAAGAGAGGTCTCCCTGGAACCATTTCTAAGCAGCCATGAAGAGACACTTGCATGGTCACACATCTAAAGCGGAGGTCACCACGTAGGGTAGCAGCAGTCGCACACAGGATGGTTTTACTCTTCCTGTTCTGTTCACGGAGCGGTTCGGGGACAGCAATGAGCAGAGTTGCTGAACAACCATCCTTCAGCACTTTTTAACTGAGAGGGGATTTGACAATGGGTAAGGTAAGGAAACAGGCATGGCAAAGCCCCGCAGGGACAGCGAGGGTGGGACAACTTCTCTGAGCAGCTCTTCAGTCAAAGCACCAAAACAGCAATGGGGACGCACCGAGGTTTTAACAAAAATGATCTGCCCAAGGATGTCTCACGTACTTCCTGCCAAACGGAGGACCTTGTTATAAAATGCAAGAAAACTTACTCATGCAGTGCACAGGTTTACCTTGGACTGAGAATAAGAGACTTTGTTTTCCCTAGTCTCTGCGCATGACTCATGGACATCAGCCTTTGCCAACCAATATTTAAAAAAAAAAAGAGAAAAATCATAATCCATTAACCCTCCCCCCATTTTTCCCTTTCTCCTTTCCCATTACAGAAGGACTGAAGTCATTTCTAAGGATGCAAACAATGCTGAAGACCACAAGACCACAGCACGGACGTCGGACGCAAGCCTCAAGCACAAATTTTCCATCGCTGTTTAAAATGCTCTCCCTGTTGCTTTACATTACTGCTCTAACCAGAACACGAGTTATTTACTCGTGTTATGTACCTCCGGGAGGATCTTTGTTGTTTTTCTTTTGAAGTCGCTAACTGAACACCGTTCTGCACTGGAACATAAAATCTCTACAAAGACAGAAATAACACAACACAAATCCAACCTGGCCAATAATCTTCAGTGACAGCTTATTTATGCAGTACAGAAACACAATTTCCCCCCAGCAAGGAAATTCCTGCCTTAGCTTCACATGGCTTACATCTGAAAGGAACTGCAGGAGCTCTGTAGGGCTTCATCCGTGTCAGCATCAACCCGCTCCTGCACCGGGGCCCAGCCTGCTGCTCGGGAAGCAGCAGAGCTCCCGTGTTTAAAACCATTGCTCCCTGCCTCCTCCTCCAGCTCCTTTCCTCTAACAGCTTTCTTGATGCGATTGCTGCTACTGGACAATGTTACAGAAACATGACTGCAAAGTTCAAACTCATCTCCCACCAGTACTGCTGAGCAAGGCAAACAGAGATGCTTGTAGCTTCTCTAAGTGCTGCTGACTGCTGGATTTAATAAAACCCATATGCAGGTGGCCTGGCCTGCCTCCCCAAAGCAACCACAACTCTCAGACAAAGCATTTTGTCCCACAACAGCCAGATACGCTGGAAACACAGCCTGGTGCCAAGGATTCAACCGCGTGCTCTCTGTTCCCGAGCTCCCCTCTCAGCAAAGTCTCACAGGGTCCAGCAGCGCTGTTCCCCCAGGGCTGCTCTCCTCCAGATACAACCATGCTGTGGGCAACAAAGTTGGGCACAGGGGTGGAGGACTGAGCGACGTTGGGTGACTTAGAAAGGGGAAGGGTTGAAGGGTTCAAGCAAAGCAATGGGGCAGAGAACCAGCATGGCTCTGCACAGTGGGAAGGATGGCAACAGCCCCGCGCCATTTGGCTGGCCTGGGTGATCTCAGCTGACCTTGGAGGTCTTTTCCAGCCTAGATGATTTGATGATTAGCAACAAGAGGCAGCATTGGTCAAGAGAGCAGGCAATGAACTGCGAGGGGATGCAGAGGCTGTAAGGGGTCTGCCAGTCCCCAGGGCTGACCCCGCAGCTTTGCTAACGCCCCTATCAAGAGCAGATATGCCAACCATAAAATACACACCACTTTTAAGTCTAAATAGGGGTTCAAGGTGTTTCCTGTCAGCACTGAGAAATCATCAAGTTTTGTTTAAGAGGCTTATGATAATTTTCTTCCCCTCTCCTGCGGCTTGCTGGTGATGATCCTACCATACCAGCATCTTCAAGCTCAAGCACACAGCTCTGGCCCCCTGCAGGCAACGACAAGGTTTAATTTCTGTGTGGTTTTCAACAGGAATGATGCTTGGTCCCCTTGATACAAGCACATATCACTAATTCCTCGGGTACAGCTAGCACACCAGAAGAGCTATCAAAAATACGCAGGCTCCCCAGCCTGCAGACCTTGCAAAGTCATTGTCAAGGCAGTAACGTACAAGCAATGAGCACCTAAGATGACAGCTTTTCAGCCTGATACAGGTCATAATAATGTTTATAACAAGTTGGGCAGGAAAATAAACCTACCCCTAGGCCTATAGCCAGAGGAGAACAGGATGGCAGGATCTGGCCTGCTCCCTCCCAGGCCCATGTCTGCAGTGTATTTAAGCAGAGAAATACTCGGCTTGATACATTCAGAAAAAAAAAATGTTTTATTTAAAAGCTCAAAGTCTTCCCAGAGGGATACCTCCCCTGGGTTAATTGGGAAGCTGAACGTTTTCAGCTGTTACTCTGCACGTACACGAAGCTGTCTGTCAGCAGCGCACCTCAAAGGGCTCTACCAACTTCAAAGCCTCTCAGAAATGTTAACATACACTGCAGCCCTTACCCATCCTTTGCAGGGAGGGAAACCGAGGCAGACGTAGCACAAGCAAGTTAGCAATGAAATCACCACCTAATTTTCCAGCCAGATGCTCTACCGGAGCCATGTGGTTGCCCTCAGCAAAGTGGTGCTCATTCCCTCCGACACTGCCCCATTCCATAGGGCCTCCAACTCTTCTAGACCAGCCTCATCCCTCTCCCAAAGTCTCACAGAATTATCAAGCTACCATCAAACGTGCTTTTTTTCCCCCCATAGCTCCGATAAATCTGAAAAAGCAGGCCTTTCCTTATACGCAGCGACTGCCTGTGGTGTAGCCCCTGTGGCGACAGGAGGGCCCAGTGCTCGTGTTTCGCCTCATGCCTCTGGGGTGCAATTAACCCATCAACTTAGCTGATCCCAAACTATCTTCTGCTGCCAAAAAAGACAGTCCTGCCTTCTCCCTCCTCCCCCTTCTATGTGTCCCAGTCATCTCCTCCACGCTTGCGGTAGCGACCACGGCTTGTTTGATCCAACTGGAAGCCATCCCAGAAAGAAGAAAATGAGAGGGGAAGGAGCCTGATTTCTGGCAGGAGCACAGCTTGTGAGGAGCTAAACTGATGGGAAGCACAGCCTCAGAAAGATGGCCCTGTGGTACAGCTGGAAGCCTAGGTGGGGCCCGCAAGCTAGGATGCAGCACTAGGAAGAAGTGCTCTAGAAGAAACCCTCTTGGTTTGTCTCTGCTCAGGGTTAGGTCACTCAAAACCATTTTAACAGCTCCATTCACTTCTGAACATGCCCAGATGCTCACTTTTCTAAAGACCCATCTGAGACAGCCAGGTGACGTGCTACCTGAGGTCTGCGAATTGGGCTGATGTGTCCTGACAGCCACACACTACAGCTACGTAAGCCTTGTGGCTTAACGAAGAACAGCCGGAGATTTTCTTTACGAGATTTGTTGTTGTTGTTTTTGTTTTGATGTGCTTTGCCATAGCTGAAGGGTGTTCTCAAAAGGGTTTTTTTTGGAGGGGAAATGAGCAAGGCCAGGCGTATGCAAACGACCTAGCAGAAGTTCATAAGGAAAGCAGACAGCAGCATGCTGAAAATAAACCCGTGCAGCCCTTCTCAACGTCAAAGTACAAATCCATTTCCAGCCTGCCACAGCCCTAGGTAACAGGCTTGTCCCCAGGTCCCCTTGCGCCCAGCCCTCTTCGCAGGGGCCACTGCCTGGACCATAGCTCTGAGGTTTAGGGTCCAAAAGCAGGTGATTTCACCTCAAAAAACAGCGAGAGCACGGTCAGCACCAAAGGGGTAAAAGCCACAAAGCGTGAAGCGAGACAATACACGTACATCTCTAGACCCAGAAATGGCAGCACACACAGAGATGCCATCTAAAACACAACCACCGATCTCAGCAACAGTCCTACCTAGTTCCCCCCACCCCTAGACCTCAAGGACAGAGGTGGCAGAGTTCACGTCTCTTTTTTTGGGTGCTTGTTTTTCTTTTTCAAGTTTATGCAGCATTAGTCACACAAGCTCCTGACAGAGCCACCTCAGGGACTTGCAGGCCTCGCTTCTGAACCACGAGCGATCTCCTCTGCACTCTCACACCAAAACCACTAACACTGCCAGCACCAACAGAAGAGCACAGCTAAAACCCTTACATTCAAGCCTCACCCTTCACAGAAATACCCAGTATTGCTCTGCCACATTGTTTTTTTCTGCCCCTGTAAAAAGCATAAGGGTACTCAAATGTAGCTTCCACAGCATTAAAATCAGTTTAACAGCTAAGCATCTCTAACCACCCTGTTCTCAGATCTGATAACTGACACCATGCACACCCCAGAAATATCCCAAAGCATCCTCAAGAAAACAGTGAGTTTTATTTTACTTACGTATACAAAGCTCAAGCTTAGATCTTATCTCAACCTAAAAAAAAAAGACCAAACCCAACTGATTAATTCAGGCCGGTTTTAACACAGCAGGCCTTTCACAGTCAGTTGCAACGAGCTGACACCACAGCCCTCACGAGGCTAGGCAGGACACTGGTGATGTTTTTGCTGGGGACCTTTCCACTGCCTGCACGCAGCCTCCTGGCAGCAAAGGCTGGGCACATCTCAGCTCCTCACCTTTCAGGGAATAAGAAGCTGCCCTGCCAGAAGGGACAGCCAGCACCTCCTGCCCTGTCTCCCAGACCTCTCTGTCCATCCCACCTCGCCAGCCACCCCTGTGCTGGATGCAACACCCTGGCAGCAAAATAAATACGCTTATCTCGACAGCTCCCTGCAGCTTCACTGAATTAAATGTGCTCAGCGATGGGTCTAACACCCATAGGAGCTGGCCACTGCAAGGAGCAGGACCAGAGTCTGATAAGCAGCAGGACGATCCCTCCCTGTTGGCAGCTGCAGGTGTTTTATCATAAAACTGCAGCAAGAAGCTCCCCAGTTCGGACATTTCACAGAAGCCAGGCAGCGGATGGTACCCTCAGCTCATGGCCCGCACAGCCTGCTGTGCGATTTGTGCCATCAGCTTGAGGCAATCAAAGTGAAGATGTCATTAGGCTCTGTTAGCTCAACCTCTAGACATCGAGAGCAAACAGAGCGGGTTTGGAGTCTCCAGGAGGCCAAGCAATGCCACTGCCAGCACTTGCTCTTAGGGAGGGGCGTGATGCTGTGGGTCTTCAGAGGTGACTTAACAGAGGATGAGGGCCAGGAAGAGGCAATGAGCAAAGCAACGCTTTGCAGAGCAGCTTTGAGCTACAGGATTCCCTGTGAAAACTGTGAGGTGAGCTAGGGAGCCAAGAAAATACTGACGCTTTGAAACAAATTCGGTAACTTTACCCGGTTAGCACTGTAATCAGCACAAATAAACACACGCAACACTTGTGACCTACTTATAACTTTATCACCCAGAGGAAATACACTTGTTACATCCTCCCTGGTAAGTCACCCCCATTCAGGCAACGATGCTCTCATGGCCGGTTTTGACTTATGAAACCGAGGGGGAAGGGAAGACAGTAAGAACAAGACATCAGAGACTACGACAACAGTTTTCATAGAATTACAGAGCAGTTTGGGCTGGAAAGGACCTTAAAGCCCATCTAATTCCAACCCCCTATGGGTGAGACTGGGCAGCTTGAGATAGATGCAACTTTGTTCCCCTCCACCCAAAGCAGGTATCAGCACTTCTATGATGAGTAGTGAAGGAAGCAGGGAAGGAGACTCTTGGAAAGCTCACTTTGGGAAAGGAAAATCACACGACTATATCAAAACGTGATCCAGATGGGTGAAAC